TACCGGGTAAATGTTCTATTCTAAATAAATGAAACCCCACTTTTTACGTCATAGGGCGCACTTTCAAAAGGAAAACATATTAAATGTTACACTGCAAATAAGTATAAAAGTACATGTTTGTTTTATAATGTTTGGAAGTGCCTCATGCTGTTACTGCCAATTGAGGTCGCCGTTTCTGTGATGTTACTTGTGGGCATAGACTGGTCAAGCTTAGGGATTTAAGTACACAAAGTTTGAGTCCATGATGTGGCTCATGAAGAACATCTGACCGTCGTGTACAGATTGAAAACAAATGAAGCAGCAGTTACAGAAAATTGCTACGGCAGAAATTTAAATGCCGGCACCCCTTGGTGCTCAAACATCTGTGACACTGAGGCCTCTGCCTGAACCTCGTCTCCAGTGTCTAATATATTTTAAACGTCATTTTTAAAAGCAGTGCTCGACATCATGGAAACGAGGTGGCCACTTGCTTCATATGACATCATGGGTTAGTCATGAATATGCATACTTGTACTAGCATTAAATCAAATATAATTATAGCCCCGAACAAAATATCAAATCAAGCAAATCAAACAAATAGTAAAATTCAATACAAGTGTGCCCTTGAAGTAAATGCATTTCAAAAATCGGACTCGTGTAAAAATTGGATTTCTTTTCCCTTTTATTGGTTAAACCCTCTCACGTTACCGGTCCCTCTCCTAATAATATGCTTGAGCATGCGCAATACCACCAATGAGTCCGTACTTCACAAAACCTAAATTCACGCTACACCGGCATTTAGAAAATACATCTTAGCATGTACATTTTTTTTAAACGACCGTAATTAAGAAAATTTATCGTTGGGTTTGACCCTTCACTCTGGAGTAACATATGCTCAGGATGTCAAAGTAATAATCCAGAAAACAAATCCTTTCAGGAGCAGTGTCCACTGCCCCCCCCCCCTCTGCCTAGGACAGAAATACCCCTGTTCATATCTTTTAAGGCCTACCTGTTTACTCTCTTGCGGTCAGTTTTATGTCAAAACTGCACTCTAAACTCTGTGACGACAAACTCTTATCAAGTTTTGTAAAATTCCATCTCCATTCTTCCTTGTACTAAGTTTTGCGAGTTTACTTCATCCAAAGTACATTAATTAGAAGAAACCATTTATCAAGACTGCACGATGGAGAAGGGAAGAAACCGTCCTGGAAAAATCACGAAATCGTACACGAATATGATGTTGCAAATGCAACGTATCCTATTTACGCCCAGTTTTCCCCATACTTATTTTGGAATTGCCCTGATGTAATGCTACTATTAATATTTTCAACAATGGGGGCAATTTCACAGTGCGCGTGCGCAGTACCGCCCTGTAAACGTGCCTGGTTCCCGGACCCTCCATTGTCGATTCTGAATTCGAACGGAGCGGGAACCAGTCATCCAAAGAACCTCGCCGCATTTGCATCGTATGAATACAAACTAGCAAATGCTAGGAAGTGCAAGCCAACCGCAGAAGCATTTACATATGAGTGAAATTTCTTTTGCCGTTCAGCATCCAGAAAGCAGCTAGCAAATGCTTACTTACTATTCGATTGATTGCACGGACGAAAGGTTGTCAAAAATCGGGTCTCTTTTGTTTGTGTATGAAATGACATACACACAGGGTTTACATGTAGGGTAACCGAGCCCAAATCATCAAGGTGATATACAGTACAGTAGTTAATTTGTGTCTTAAATCCAACTCAAATGATATATTTTGACAATTCACAGAGTGCAGAAAGTGCCATAGTGAAAAGGAAAAGCGCAGTGTAGGCAAAGTTACAGTGTGCAACATTTCTTCAACCAGAAACATATTTCAGCCAGTAAAATCGTCCGAAAACAAATATTTTATTATATGACTGAATAAATTTGACGCTTATGTCATTTCGTTCCGTTCCCTGATTGCCGTCTGAAGCATTCACCCCGTTTCAATAATGATTTTCAGTAACGGTCTTTGCTTCATTTTTATCCACACCGATGAAAGTAAATGCATACAAATTGAAAGTAAAAACATATTGAAGTTTTTCCTCCACCGACCCACTGACTCACAAATCTATGACTTCTGGGATCACACACAAAAGAGTGTCATCCAGCTCTCATGTTTTGGGGAATGTTCTACTCAAAATGAAATGAAACCCTACTTTTTACATCATAGGGCGCACTTTCAAATGAAACAATATTAAATTTCCACTGCAAATTAGTGTAAAAGCACATGTTTGTTTTATTATCATTGGAGGTGCCCCATGCTGTTACTGTCAATTGAGGGCGCCGTTTCTGTGATGTTACCTTTGGGCATACAGGGTGAGTCAAAATTTAAAAAAACGAAACCGAAATGGCAGGACCAATTTTCGAATGAAAATCAGTACAAGAATCATTCAAATCACTCATGTGCTTTTCAAGTTAGAGAATTTTGAACGCAATCACAGTTTTAAAATTCTGTCCACAGATCACACAAAAAACAGGTAAGTATCCTTACTGAAAGAACACAAAAGAAAAAGTGTTAAAACCAATGCAATGCGATCCATCGTGTTTGAGGAGCTGGACCTATAAGCCGTTTCACTGATACCGCCATCTTTAAATGTGTGTTCAGTGGGCAGTTCAATAGCATCACGTCCCAGCACATAGATGACACCATAAGGCATACTAGCGACTTTGAAGAGCAAATGAGTTGACTTGACACTACATAGCTTGTGATGGACTTGTAATGGACTTGGGATGGACTTGGGATGGACTTGCGATAGACTTGTGATGGACTTCTTATGAGGGACTTGGGATGGACTTGTGGTGGACTTGTGATAGACTTGGGATGGAATTGTGATGGACTTGGGTTGGACTCGGGATGCAATTATGATGGACTTGTGATGGGCTTGTGATAGACGTGTGATGGACTAATTATGAGGGACTTGTAGTGGACTTGTGGTGGACTTGTGATGGACTTGTGATGGACCTTGGATGGACTCGGGATGCACTTATGATGGGTTTGGGATGGGCTTGTGATATACTTGTGATATACTTGTGATGGACTAATTATGAAGGACTTGTGGTGGACTTGTGGTGGACTTGTGATTGACTTGTGATGGACTTGTGATGGACTTGGGATGGAATCGGGATGGACTTGGGATAGACTTGGGATGGACTTGTGATGGGCTTGTGATTAACTTGGGATGGACTTGGGATGGACCCAGAGGAAAGTCCACATTTTAAATAAAAATATAAAATTTAGAAGAAGTATGCATTTGAAGTACATGTACATGTATATACATTTTAAGAACTGCATTTTAGAAAATGGAAAACTACATCTTATCATGTACATTTCTTTCAAACGCCACGTAAATCAGAAAATTCAACATTGGGTTTTGCCCTTCACTGCCGTCATTACGTGAGCACTGTGTACTCAGAGTTATCAGAGTGTTAATTCAGAAAAACAAATTCCTTCAGGAGCAGTGTCCCATTCCCCCATCCCCACTCCAAACCCCCGAAACTGAAATACCCCTGTTTAAAACATTTACCTGCTATCTCTCTTTTGGTCAGTTTCACGGCAAAAATGCACTCTACACTGTGTAACGACAAATCCTCATCGTGTCTTATAAAGTTCCATCTCTATTACACCTCTACCAGACTGTACGAGTTTACTACATCCACTTTTCATTATTCAGAAGAAACAAATTATTTCAACTTCATGATGTCGATCAAAGAAAGAAAGAAACAGTTATGGAAAAATCAGGAAATGGAGGGATATGATGTTGCAAGTGCAACGTACCTAATATTTACGCGCAGTTTCATATTTCCGCATACCGATTTTGGAATTGCCCTGATGTAATACTACTATTAATACATTTTTACAATGTGGGTAACTTCACAGTGCGCATGCGCAGTACCGCCCTGTAAACGTGCCAGGTTCCCGGACCAGTTTTCCCAAAGAACCTCGCCAGCGTAGCGTGGTATGAATACAAACTAGCAAATGCTGGGAAGTACAAACAAACAGCAGAAGCATTTACATATGAGTACAATTTCTTTTGCTGTTCAGCATCCAGACAGCAGGTTCAAATGCTAACTTATTGGATAGATTGCACGAACGAATGGTTGTCATCAATAGGGTTTCTTGTGTTTGTGTTTGAATTGGCACACACAGGGTTTACATGTAGGGCGGTAAACGACTCCAAATCATCAAGGTGATGCATGCAGTACAGTAGCTAGATTGAGCCTTCAATCCAACGCAAATGATATATTTTCACAAATTACAGAGTGCAGAGTGTACTTTCATTTAAAAAAAAGAAATGAAGCGCATTGTGGACGAAGTTACACTTGCGTATATTTAATCACCCAGAAATATGTTTCAGTTCGTAAAATCACACCAAAAAAATGTGATGTTGAAAAACAGTATTTTCTTATATTACTGATTAAAGTGGACGCTTACATCATTTCGTTCAGTTCCTGATTGCCGTTTGAAGGACTCACTCCTTTTCATTCATGCTTTTCAGGAAAAGCCTTTGCTTTATTTTCATCCACATAGATGCAAGTAAATGCTAAATGTGTAGACTATAGAAGCAAATGGTACTTTTTACTCAACCGACCCACTGACTCTCAAATCTATGACTTCTGGGATCACACACAAAAGAATGTCATCCAGCCCTCATATACCGGGGAAATGTTCCACTCAAAACGAAATCAAACCCCACTCACTTTTTACATCATATGGCGCACTTTCAAAAGGAAAACAATATTACATTATATTTCGCCAACTCCGGAGAGACTCACCCTGTAGATTGTTTCTCGTATTGCAATCTGATCCACCCTTAGAAGCTAATAGAACATACCTCATTAGCATAACAAAAGGCCCTTCCCGGCGTGGTAGTGAAGCTGCGTTCTCCCAGGGTATCTGTGTCTTTGTTTTTTTGTGTCGCAGTCTATCCACACGCTTTTATCTTACTCGCGTTCTAAACGACAACTTTCCGTGATAAATTACAAGGATTTACTCCATCATGCCGAAGTCTCGTCAGAGTTTTCCTTCAGCTCCGTGCACGGTGTCTCGACCCCCTGACGATGAGAAACCCCCTTCGCCTGCAGAAGACATCTTAGCTATGGCAGCTAGAGAAATTTCCCCGTCGGGGGTAAATTTGGCGGACCAAGCCAAGGCTCCTCAGTGGGCTGACGGCTTTTCGGGCGGCGGGTCTCCATGCCCAAAGCCCCCTGCAAGTGTAACAGATCCGCGGCCTAGTACGTCAGCTCCGTCTGGTACTGGCCCTGGTGCGCCACGCCCACCGACTACAGCTCAACCGCACTTTCCACAGTTCCCCGCTCAGTCGGGCTACTGGTACCCTCAGCCACCATCAGCTCCCTGGGGAACCCCTGGTGGCCCTGGCCCATCAACGATGCCTGCTGGTTTATTCAATCAGTGGGGCATCCCTGTCCAGTATTTTCCGCAGCCGATTTACAGCGGTCTCTCGGAGCATCCTCCCGCTAGCGCTCCAACTCTGACGGCCCCTGGCTCACATGCACAGCGCCCTCCTGCTGCTGCGGCTGCTGACGGCGGCCATCTTGAAATAGTCAACGTTAGTGACGACGACTCTGAGTCCTCCTTTTCCGCAGTTTCTACTGCCGGTAGAGAGCCCTTTCGCCTTCCTCACAAGAAAGACACAGGTATAAATCCTATCTCAGAGAAGGTGATTTCATGGTGGGAGGAACTGAGAACCCACAAGTTGTCCTCCGACGATTATAAAGAGGAAATTTCACCGTACAACGTCCCGTCGGGCCAGGGAAAATTCTTTTCCGCCCCGGAACTTCCGTCTGGTTTGAAGAAGGTGTTCAAACAGGTAAATTCCTCAACCATTAACAGTGATGAGAAGTTAAGAGCTTCCCATACTCATATCCTCGAGGCAGTCAAACCCTTGCTACGCCTTTTTGACGCAGTTACAGATGATGAGTGCCCCAATGAAGTTCCTAAAGAACTCGTCCAGGATCATCTTTCGTCGGCCATTATTTTACTCGGCTCTGGCAGTCAAGGGCTCGCCTTGGCGAGACAACATGCATTTGATGACATTGTCGACCGCAAGTTTGATGTCCTCAAGAAGAACCCTCCTTCGTTAGGTGAACTCTTCGGATCATCCTTGATGAAAGACATTGAGGAGACAGAAAAGGTCAACAAATTGGCCTCCAAAGTCACGGGCACAGGCGGAAAATCTCAGCAGTCTAACCCTTCTAAGGATAGACGTTTCACGCCTTATCAACTGGCCTCCAGGTCGTTCAGAGGGCGTCGCCCATCACGGGGTGCCTACAATCGCTTCCCAGGTAGGAATTACCAACAGTTCAAGGATTTCCCAAGATCGCGAAATCCCAAGACGGCCTACGCCACTACAGATAAGTCTAGTTCAAAAAACTAGATGCCCAGCTGTTTATGCCCATCACTGGTGCCTCTCCAGCATTTTCTGTACCCCCTGCTGGTCGTTTGAAATATTTTTCTCACAACTGGTTGAAGTTGACTCATGACCCTTGGGTTCTTCAAGCCGTGGATGGTTACTGTATCAGTTTCACATCTACGCCGGTTCAGTCTTTTGTTCCTGTGACCCGGGCTCAGTCCGAGGAACACGCTTCAATTTTTAACCTCGAGATACAGAAGATGCTCGATAAAGGTGCAGTTTCAGAAGTTCAACCCGTTCAGGGACAATTTATTTCTACTTTGTTCATGGTTCCTAAGTCTTCTGGGGATCTCCGTCCAGTGATTAATTTAAGACCTTTGAATAGGTTTATCTCGTACCATCATTTCAAGATGGAAAACATTTCTTCAGTGAAAGATCTCTTAGTGCAGGGGGATTGGATGTGTAAAATAGACCTGAAGGATGCTTATTTTTCAGTTCCTATTAATTCTGAGCATAGGAAATATCTCCGTTTTTTCTGGAACAAGGTCATTTATGAGTTTACTTGTCTTCCTTTCGGATTGTGTAGTGCGCCCCGTACCTTTACTAAGATACTTAAACCACTTGCCTTCCACCTCAGACAACGTGGTATTCGTTGTATTTTTTACCTGGATGATATCCTTATCCTCGAGTCTTCCTACGAGGGATGTGTGACAAATACTCAAGTGGCAACCAGTCTCCTTCAAGATTTGGGTTTCATTATCAACATAGAGAAATCCATTCTTGTCCCTACTCAGAATTTAACATACCTTGGTTTTCTTATCGACTCTTCATCCATGACTCTCTCTCTGAACCAGGAGAAGATCGTAAAGATAATCAGCCACTGCCAAGAGATTTTGGAGGCGCAAACTGTCACAGTTCGACAACTCTCAAGCCTCATCGGCAGGTTATCGTCCACAATTCTGGCAGTTTTTCAAGCCCAGATCTTCTACCGCAGTCTTCAGGAGGACAAAATCTCCGCCCTCCGCAGGGAGAACAGTTACGAATCAGCTGTCACCCTTTCACAAGCTTCCCTGGAGGAGCTGCGAACATGGGTGCAATGTCTGCATGCATGGAACGGTCGGCATTTTCTTCATCCGACGCCAGATTTGACCCTTCAAACGGACGCTTCTATGTCGGGATGGGGAGCTTGTCTTCACTCCACGATAGGCGGCCGTTGGACAACTCTAGAACAACAACATCATATCAACTACCTCGAACTGTTAGCAGTTTGGTATGCCATCCGATCTCTCCTCGCAGAGAGGCGGGACATCCATGTTCTTCTTCAGATGGACAGTTCAACAGCCATTGCATATATCAACCACCAAGGAGGGACTCACTCGGTTCCAATGTCTCGACTAGCTGTCAAGATCTGGGTATGGTGTCTCAAGAGAAACATCACTCTAGCAGCTCAACATATACCGGGGTCCCAGAACATCACAGCAGACAGGATGTCACGAGTGTTCGACGATCGGGCGGAATGGCAACTCCTCCCAGAAGTCTTCCGCAGCATCATGGATGCCCTACATTTTGTCCCATCGGTAGACCTCTTTGCGTCTCGCCTGAATACACAACTAGAAACGTTCGTTTCATGGCAGCCAAACCCCATGGCTTGGAGGGTCAATGCTCTTCTTCTAAACTGGAAGGATGTAAACGGCTACGCTTTTCCTCCGTTTTCACTTCTTCTGAGAATCCTTCAAAAGATCCGCAGAGAGGAAGCTACAGTTGTTCTTGTCGCTCCAGTATGGAAGACTCAAGCTTGGTACCCCATGCTGCTGGAACTAGCAATAGACGTGCCACTGCTCCTCCCACGGAGAACAGATCTCCTTCAGCTTCCCCACAATCGGTCACAAGTTCATCCACTGATAGGCCACCTCCAACTGGCCGCATGGAAGTTATCAGGGCAAATCTCTCTTCAGAGGGACTTTCACAGACGGTGTCAGCCACAATCCTTGCTTCTTGGAGACCACAGTCCAATGCCCAGTATAACTCAGCATGGAGAAGGTGGGCAAGCTGGTGTTTACAGAGGAAACTTGATCCAGTTCACACCCCTGTAGCTGATTTCTAAGAGTTTCTTCAGCAGTTGTTTGACGAAGGTCTGTCCTACAGAACCATTAATGGCTATCGTTCTGCGATTTCATCAGCTCACTGCTTAATTGATAATTTGCCTATGGGTCAACATCGTTTAGTGAAACGTTTCTTTAAAGGTATTTTTGGACTTCGCCCTCCAAGACCGAAGTACAACAGCACATGGGACGTTGGGAAGGTCCTTAGATTCATCAAGTCTCTCCCCGACAATCGCCGTTTGTCCTTGAGGCAGTTAACCCTCAAGTTAGCCATGCTGCTTGCACTTGTAACTGCCAGTCGCCGAGCTTCCTTGACAGCTATTGATGTCGATAACATGACTCGATCATCTGATGGAAAATACCGTTTTCTCCTTGTCAAGCCATCGAAGTGTGTTTCTGTCAGTAAGCCCTTCCATCAAATTGAGATTTCCAAGTTCCAGCCGGTCAGAAATCTCTGCCCAGTTCGTTCTTTAGAAGAGTATCTTCAGAGAACCCGACATCACAGAGGTACTGGTTCTTCTAGGATGACCCAGCTTTTCCTCTCCCATTCAAAGCCATTCCATCCAGTGGTCCCCTCAACAATTTCTAGATGGTTGAAAGACTTAATGTCTCAGTCTGGCATTGATACATCACAGTTTCAGGCCCACTCAACAAGAAGTGCAAGTACTTCAGCCGCAGCTCGAGCTGGGGTCTCCACAAGTGAAATTTTAAAAACAGCAGACTGGTCATCAGCCTCTACCTTTGCCAATTTCTACCACAGACACCTCCCTCTGTCAGACTTTGGAGGTGCTGTGCTGTCATCGGCAACACAACAGCTTTAAAGTCTACAGGGTGAGTCTCTCCGGAGTTGGCGAAATATAATTCCCCAATTATGTAAAGTACTTACCTGCAATATAATTGGAATTATATGAGACAATGGAGGAGAGACTCAACCTCCCTCCCTTTTTCTTCATTTTCTTACTGCAGATAACCCGCCCGAGTAATTCTGGTTGGTTTCCGATGAGGTTTACCTTACTACCGTTACCTTACTTCTAGCTTCAAAAAGACACAGATACCCTGGGAGAACGCAGCTTCACTACCACGCCGGGGAAGGGCCTTTTGTTATGCTAATGAGGTATGTTCTATTAGCTTCTAAGGGTGGATCAGATTGCAATACGAGAAACAATCTACAGGGTGAGTCTCTCCTCCATTGTCTCATATAATTCCAATTATATTGCAGGTAAGTACTTTACATAATTGGGGAATTTTACACTGCAAATTAGTATAAAGATACATGTTTGTTTTATTATGTTTGGAAGTGCCTCATGCTGTTACCGTCAATTGAGGGCGCCGTTTCTGTGATGTTACTTGTCGGCATAGACTGGTCAAGTTTACGGATTTAAGTACACGAAGTAGGAGTCCATGATGTGGCTCAAGAAGAACATCCGACAGTCGTGTACAGATTCGAAACAAATGAAGCAGCAGTTACAGAAAGTTCATAATGCAGAAATCTCCAAATGCCAGCAACCCTTGGTGGTCAAACATCTGTTACACTGAGGCCTCTGCCTCAATCTCGTCCCCAGTTTCTAATTTACTTTAAACCTCATTTTCAAAAGCATTGCTCAACACCATGAACGAGGTTGCTGCTGCCTTCAAATGACATCACATTTCTAAACTTGTATTAGCATGCAATAAAAAAGCCTCGAAAAAAATCATAAATCAGGCAAGTCAAAAAAGGTGAAATTGAACACAAGTATGCAGTTGATGTCCATACATTTCAAAAATCGCATCGGACTCGTGCACAAATCGGACTCCTTATTCCTGTTATTGGTTAAACCCTCTCACGTGACCGGACCCTCTCCTAGTTATCTGTGCGTGGGCATTGGCGTCGCCCCCCCCCCCGAAAAGCAATCTCAAGAGAAAAAAAATGAAAAAAAGGGGGCATGAAAGAAAAAGAGGCGCGAAGTCATATTGCTGTTAATTAATGGCCCTTCGCACCCTCGAAAAATGATCAATCGAGAATATGCTGGAAAAGTACAGGGATTTCGGGGGGGGGGGTGCTTGCCCCCCCCCCCCCCCCCAGCAAAAAATCCTGGCGACGCCCATGTGCATGAGCATGCGCAGTACCACGAATGAGTCCTTTTTTCATAAAACCTAAATTCACGCTACTGTACACCGGCATTTAGAAAATACATCATAGCATTTACATTTATTTCAAAAGGAAAGTAACTTAACAAAATTAGGCATTGGGTTTAGCCGTTTCTGCCGTTATCACATGAGTACTTTATGCTCAAAGCTGTCAAAGTAATAATTCAGAAAAAAAACCTCTTTAAGAACGAGGTGTTCCCCAACCCTGGATTAAAATACCGCTGTTCATAACTTTTAGCTGTTGTCTCTCATTCAATTCAGTTTCACGGTAAACAGGCACTCTACACTATGTGACGACAAATCCTCATCAAGTTTTGTAAAATTCCATTTATATTCTACCCGCACCAGATTTGGTGAGCGCGATTTTACTTCATGCAAAGTATATTTATCAGAAAACAATTATCAAGATTGCGCGATGGCAATCAAAGAAGGGAAGAGACAGTCATGGACAAATCACGAGAATCGTGGGCGGATATTATGATGTTGCAATTGCAACGTACTTTATTTCCGCCGAGTCGCATATTTCCGCATACCGATTTTGGAATAGCCCTGATGTAATACTGCTATTCATACATGTTTACAATGGGGCAACTTCACAGTGTGCTTGCGCAGTACCGCCCTGTAAACGTGCCTGGTTCCCAGGCCTCCATTATGGATTCTGAATTCGAACGGAGCGGGAACCAGTCTTCCAAAGAACCCCACCGCCGTAGCGTCGTATGAATAAAAAAACTAACAAATGCTGGGAAGTACAAGCAAACAGCAGAAGCATTTACATATGAGTACAATTTCTCTCTCTGTTCAGAATCCAGACAGCAGGTTGCAAATGCTAACTTTAGAAAATACGAAATTACATCATATCATGGACATTAATTCAAACGCCGAGTAGCCTACATCAGAACATTCAACATTGGATTTTGCCCATCACTGCCGCTATTACATGAGCACTCTGTACTCAGAGCTGTCCGAGTAATAATTCAGGAAAACACATCCCTTCAGGAGCAGTGTCCCCCTCTCCCATCCCCATCCCGTCCCCACCCCCACCCCAAACTGAAAACTCCTGTTTTAAAACCTTAGCGGGTGCCTGCGTGGAATACATTCTAGTCACATTTCTATGTTTTATATTGTCCCAGCCACGTGGTAGCCATGCTCAAGGTCATCTATCATCAGATCCTAATATGGACCATGCCACATTCACCAGAAGGGGTATCATTCGGGTGACCCTAGTGGAGGGGTTTAAATTGGCGGGCAGATCGACCTAGTGTGCTTATGGTGCTTGTACATATTTACATAAGCTTATTGCACTGTTCACATAGGGATTGCCTGGATCACCCCTGCTAACCAAAATGGAACAGTCGATTGGCATTAACAGGGCATGTCTGTGGTTGTAATGGCCGTTAGGGGTCTGAAGGATACCAGCTGTGAAGGGTCTGAGTTTTAAGGCCGGGTGGCTCAAATCACATAGTGCTATCTCGCTTTCAGTCAGTTTCACGGCAAAACTGCACTCTACACTTTGTAACGATAAATCTTTATCATGTCTTGTAAAGTTCCATCTCCATTTTACCTCTACCAGACTATACGAGTTTGCTACACTTCATTAATATGAAGAAACAAATTGTTGCGACTTCCCGATGTCGATTGAAACAAGGAAAAAACAGCCGTGGAAAGATCACGAAATTGTAGACGGATATAATGTTGCAATTGCGACGTGCCCTATTTATGCACAGTTTGATTTTTCCGCATGAATTTTGCAATTCCCCTGATGTAATACATTAATACATTTTCACAATGGGAGCAATTAACGTCATATTGCGCGTGCGCGGGCGCTGTACCGCCCTGTAAACTTGACTGGTGTAATAATCTTTCTCAGTAATACTTTCTGCACTTTAGGGCGGAAAAAAATGGGTTGATATGCCCTGTAGCTATAGTTCTTGAGATATCTTGTTGAAACTATATATATTGTTTGACCCATATAAATGACCTTGCCATTAGACCACTGGATCCAACAAATGTGCCTAGTTAGTGCAGAAAGCAATTGCGTGAAAAATGTAAAACACCTGCGTCCTGTAGAAGTCAAGGTTGCCTAAAAATATATTTCCATCCAGAAACATATTTCAGATTGTACAGATTGAAAACAAATAAAGCAGCAGTTACGGAAAGTTGATAAGGCAGAAATCTTAATGCTGGCAACCCTTGGTGCTCAAACATCTGTTACACTGGGGCCGTTGCCTCAATCTCGCCCCAGTGTCTAATTTGTTTTAAACGTCGTTTTCAGAAGCAGCGCTCAACATCATGGGAACGAGGTTGCTCCTGCTTTCAAATGACATCACAGGTTTAACTTGTATTATCATGCAATCAAAAAGCCCCGACAAAACATAAATCCGGCAAGTCAAAAAAGGTGAAATTTAACACAAATATGCATGTCCATACATTCCAAAAATTGCATAGGACTCGTGCAACAATCTGACTCCTTTTCCCCGTTTTTGGTGAAACTTTCAATTGACCGGACACTCTCCTAATTTTCTGTGCGTGGGCATGGGCGTCTCAAAGGGGGCGGCAAGGAGGCGCCTGCCCCCCCCCCCCCGAAAAGCAACCCCAAAAAAGAAGAGAAAAAAAGGGGAATGAAAAAAAAGAGGCGCGAAGTCATTTTGCTGTTAGTTAATGTACCTGCCCTCCATTGAAAAATGATCAATCGGGAATATGCTGGAAAAGTACAAAGATTTCGGGGGGAAATGTTCTTTGCCCCCTCTAGAAAAAAAATCCTGGCGACGCCCATGTGCATGAGCATGCGCAGTACCACGAATGAGTCCGTATTTCATAAAACCTAAATTCACGCTACTGTACACCGGCAATTAGAAAATACATCA